AAAACAGCAATTATATGAGCAACTAGAACAGACTTCCCTTTACGAAATCTACTTGAATACCTTACATTCTAGGACTGCTCCTGTAATCGTACAGGAGGTTAATAAACTGCGTTCACTGAATACATTGTATACCCTGAAATCACAGTCTCAAAAATGCACGGAAGTAATGCTGGCATTTGTTGCCTGCCCACGGTCAATGGTAGACCCTTGCAAAATACTTCATGTAGTGGCATTTTGATACTTGACACCCTTTACCATCTCCCTCTCACTCTCACCTAACTCAAACAATTGCATTACAGGAAATCGGTATCAATGATCAGTGGTAAATCCACAGTGAGTTATAATACTTAAAAGAAAAACACTGCAAAATAGCACAAATAGCCCTGATTAATAACCATCATGCACTGCCTGTGTTCCCACAAGGGCAAATCAGAATAAAGATTAGCTAAAATTAAAGATCAACAATCTATTCACTGTGTACTTGCTGCTGCAGTTATTTTACTCAAAATGAATACTAACGCAAAACTCAGCAGGACTCTAAATCAGGATTATGAAATTAAACAGATTCTGAAGTCCATTAATCTCATCCAGTCACATACAGCTGGACAAAGCAAATTTGCCTGCTTTGGTTTTTTTTTCAATCCTATTTTCAACATCAAAAATGAACTGGACGACTTTGAATCTCTGTAGGAAAACTTCAAAACTGCCATCATGCACAATCACATTAAAGCAGTGCTCTTTGCGAGAAGCTGACGGCAGTTGTGTATAACTTAGATTAAAGACATATTTCCCAGAAATAAATATTTCTTCAATAGACCAGAATAAAGAAACAATGCAGCACAAAAGGAGACCAATTGGCAGAGCTGTCTAATTAGTCCCACTTCCTTCCTCCTCCCCATGATCCTTTAAACTGCTTTCTTTCGCACATGCATTAAATATTGCAAAAAGGAGACAAAAGATTGAAGTTTTTCATCTTACCCTCACCAGGATTAGAACACAAGAAACAGACATGAAAAATATATACAGCATGAAGGGATGGTGCTGATTGGTTAGGCCATCATTGGCATGGAAATACCAGAAGAACAAGAGTCATATTCTCAGACCAAACAGGTAGAGTCTGATCGGTCTGAGTGTTGTATGGTGCAGTAGAGATCGACAGCTTGCAGGACTCCATTACCTGTCCATTAAAAAAGTGCTACACACAAATTCCATTGCCTACATAAAACAACATCCTATATATTAACATATGCAGCTTTTAGTACATACAGAAATAGTCATGCAGTATTTATACCACAGGAAGATGCCATTTGGCTTATTGTGTCTATACTAATCATCAAGCAGGCATCTGTTCTAATCCCATTTGTTCAGCACTTAGCCCATAGCCTTTTATGTTAAGGCATTTCAAGTGTTATCTAAATCATTTTTAAATATGTTGAGGGCTAGCCACCTTTTGGGCAGCAGGTTCCAGATATCCAAAACCCTCTGGGTGAAAAAATATTTCCCCAAATCCCTCTAAACCTCCTGTTCTTTACCTGTGCCCCTAGTTATTGACCCATCAATGAAGGGGACAAGTTTATGCCCCAAAGATCTTTTGCACACCTCAAACAGATCTCCCCTCAACTATCTCCGCTCTAGGGAAAGCAACCTTGGTCTACACAGCATCTTTTCATTCCTGAATCACTCCAGCCCAGCCAACATGCAGATGAATCTCTTCTTGAGCCCTCTTCAGTGCAATCACATGCTTTATATAATGTGGCAACCAGAACTGCACGCAGTTATCTAGCTGTGTCCTAACTAATGTTATATACAGCTCCATCATAATCTCCTTGCTCTGGTATTCAATGACTTGACTAATAAAGGTTTCTTCACCACCTTGACTGCCTGTCCTGCTGCCTTCAAAGTTCTATGGACATGCACACAAAAGTCCCACTGATCCTTTGTACTTCCTGATGTCCTACCAAATAATGTGTACTAATTAGCTTGATGGCAGAATCCTGTTAATACAGAAAACTACTTCTGGGTTCACAGCAAAATAAAAGCATGACATAGCCAGCTTCACCTATTGCTTAAACTGTTGAATCACCTTCTTCTAGGGTAATCTGAGGGAGGCTGTGCACTGCTCGAGGGCCAAAAGTGGCAGATATGAGCACTTTGACAAGTTTTTGTAATGATTTTATCACGATAGTCATCAGGATGAAGGACGATTTTGACACATCCTATCTCAGCATCAAGCTTACACAATGTACTGATGGCTAGGGTTCTATTCACAAGGTTGCCTATGAGATTAATCTTATATTGTGTTCAACTGTAGAAATCCCAATGTGTATATTGACCAGTGAATATAGGCTTTTGGAAAATGATAACAGAGAACCCACTAGCAACTTTCTCAACTAACAGGACAAGGGAAGGGAGTTTGTCTGATTGCTCCATTTCAATGGATGGAGCTTATCAAGCTGTGGAAAGGAATCCTTTGATTCAGCTGCAGACTTAATTATTGCAAATATATCATCAGCATATCAGAAGAATGCAAGGCTAAGAGGTTAATAGTTATTCCATTGAAGAGGTGATTCTCAAAGTAATCAACAAAGATGTCAGCGAGAGCTGAACATAGAAGGGATCTCACGGCAACACCATCCATTTAGGCATGCATAGTTGAACTGAAACTGAACTCAACTGCACAAACTGCTACATTCGTGAGGTCGACAAGCACAGGTCAAGACACCAGTGGCACATCTAGATCACCACGATACAGAATAATAGAATCCCTACAGTGTGGAAGCAAGTCATTCGGCCCAGAGTCCACACTGACCCTCCAAAGAGCATCCCACCCAGATTTACCCCCTTACCCTATTCCTGTAACCCTGCATTTCCCACAGCTAATCAACTTAACCAACATTTCCCTAGACACACTGGACAATTTAGCATGGCCAATCAACCTAATCAGCACAACTTTTGACCGTGGGAGGAAACCTGAGCACCTGGGAAATCCCACCCAGACACAGGGAGAATGTGCAAACTCCATATAGACAATCACCCAAGAAAAGAATTAACCCTTGTCCCTGGCACTGAGGCAGCAGTGCTAACCACACAGCCACTGTACCACCCTAATGTAGTGGCATAGTTCAAATGACAATGAGTTCTTAGAGTGATACATTGGCAAATAAGCTGGAAATGTCAAAACAGCTCATTGACATGTCATTGCTCTCAAAATACAGATCTTGTATGGTCTACACCCAGGCATGGACACAGTGCATTGTAAGGATGAATTTCATCATATGTCACTAGGCATGATTCTACCCTTACAGGTCCAATAAGCACCTTTAACGTGGCTGTTCAGTCATGTAGATAAAACTTGGAATCATCATTGAACACAGTATATATTTCCGTCATGTACAGACTTCTTTTGTGTATGACTACTCCAGTCTCTTTGCTGGGTTTACATAAGTGTATCAGATTTGTCTTGAGATTACACAATGCTACCAGCCACGTGCATTGTAGATGCAAATCTGTCATTAGATGCTCCACAGTACACGAGAGATCTGCTAGATGTGCTCTCAGGGCATCCTTGTTGGGTGGTTTATGATGAGATTACAGGTAATGAAGGGATTTGAACTAAGTAGATATCTCTTCCCATTCAATAGGAAGACGAGGGCATGCCAAAACTGAAGACATGAGTGACACAAACTTGTTTTCAAAAAGAATATGCTTCAAAGAGATTTATTGTGTTTAGTAACATTCTCAAAGTGAAGCAGTTTCGTAGTACAATTAAGTTTCTAGTTTGGTTATGTTTCAAGCAGCTTTCATTTGTGGTATAGTTTTCTATAAAGGAGCACAAACAGATTGAATCAAAGATTACAAGGAATTTGCTCATTTCAAAGCAAGCATAGAATACAATATAGATCAGTAACCCTCCCACCAATTCTTCAATAAAGGAAGGAAGGAAAGAAAGGAGCTGGGGGGGGAAAAGAGAGAGAGAGCGAGCGAGCGAGCAAGAGGTGGGGAGAGAGAGAGAGAGAGAGAGCATGAGTAAATCAGCAAACTGTCTCCAAAAAAAAAAAAGTGGAAGCAACGGAATTGGTGAAAACTGTTCCTCCAACCACAGGTCACTTATCTCCCACGCTTGCTGCTGAAAGGCTCTATAGTCCTTCCAAAGTAACATAAGCCTAACATGTAAAAGGAACAAACCACTGCAAATAGAAACTGCCATATGCTGGCATTGAGGCACATCATTATTAGACTTCAATGGGTGCCAGTGAAGCCCCAGAGTCAGTGAAGAATGGTTAATTGCACAAATTCAAACGTTTGTTGGTGCTCATGCCAACTACAGTCTGCCAAGAACCATCACTTTCACAGCAGAGAAAAATTGGGGGTGGGGAATGTATGTACAACATATTGAATGTCAAGCCTTGATTTTGTTTTTTTTTGGGTCGGTGGTCATATGACTTGGGCAAACCTTTCAAATTTGAAACATAAACTGCTTGATACCAGACTGTAAACACCACAGCTATAAACCATTTAAATAAGGAAGTGATTTATTAAAAAGGGATAGAAAAAACACTAAAGATTCAGTTAATTGCATCATTCTAAAAAGATTAAGTACAACATTTTGATACTTAGTTTACATTTATTCTATCTAACCCATGTACAATACATACCAACTCCTGGGCATGTAATTTATGGTAACATTCACTCAGGAGCTAAATATTCCTAAATGAGAAAGGGACAAACATAGAAAGAAATTAAGGTTAAGGAAATGGATGAAGGAGAGAAAGAGTTTAGCATTCATTACAAATGCTCCATTATTGGCACATAAAAGAAACCAACTGTTCCAAGTTTCAGGATTGATATGTTTGTGGTGAAAAATGTTAGCTTTATGTCAGCTAAACACATATTTCAGCAGACCAATAGAACTGTTAAATGAGAAAGATTCACATCCCAAATCTAACAAATCCAATGAATAGAAGCTCCAAGATAAAATAAACAGTCACTTTTTACAAAACTTCAAACAAAGAAAATTTATTACATGTAAAATAATGAAAAATAGTTCAATTGATATCATGTGGCAAAAGTTTTACATTGAGGGCAGTTTGTTTCAGGACTGATCATATCATTGGGATTAGTGAATTAGTGATTACTTCATTAGTCATCACAATTGTCATTTGCCATTACAATTTTGCAACAGCAGAGTTTCAATAATTTCCCTCCTTTTCTAGTCCGAACAAATACGTCACAATAAAATTATGACAATAGTATTATATCACTCAATATGACCATATGTAAAATTGCAAAGATGCACAGATGTGTTAAAGAAGTAATGGCTTACTTCTAAATATGAATTCCAAAAACCAAGAAAAATTTATTTTATTTACAGGGTCTTACGTGTCAGGATTCTTGAAGAATGAAACAAAGAACATAGTAAATACTTCACTGAATATGGCCACTTTAGGATGTGGGTGGATTGAAAGAGGCTGCTAAAGGAAAGATGTCCTTTCAAATGATAGTTTTTTTAAGTGCCAAGCTAAGAGCCAAAAACAATTATGCTTGGTCTAGCAATTACAAAATTGAGGCTTTACTTTTTTTAAGACTGCCCCTTCCCATCCCACACACGGTTTCTTTATCTTTCGAAGGCTAATTGCAATCATGCATCTTCCCAGGCAAGGTGAATTTGATAACTGGCTTAAAGAAATGACTTCTCATTTAGTAAGGGTTTGGGTCATCAGTTTTCACATTTCAAACTTGAAATGAGATATCTTGACTTTTTTTAAAATTCCACTTATTTAGGTAAAGAATTGAAACCTTATTAAAATCAGCCAACCAAGAAAAGCAAGTTCATGATCTTCAAATTATAAAGCAAGACTAATTAATTACCAATTTTAATTTCAGTCATTCCACACTTCATTCAGTAACTCCACTTTGCCTTTATTAAATAATCTAAATTTCCTTTGCATTACCTCAGGACTCAAAATAAGTGATTGCCAATATAATTAATACTTATTTGGCACTGCTTTTTAGTGGTCCAATGTTATAGCCTTATTATCCTTCTGAATTGACTCCTAATTTTAAATACTCCATGGGTATCTTCCAGTCAAAGAACACACCAAATGCATCCTAAATTTTGTTTTTACATTTCAGTTATAAGTAAAAACGAAGGTAGTTCCATTCAACTTAAGTGTTTTAAAATGCTTCTGCTGCCATTCGGTGTTGAAAAATTGGACTTGCCAGGACAGCTTGTGCTCCTCTCAGGATTGTCTCAAAAATGTACTATCAAGATGCAACATTTTGCATGTCTAAGTCACAGTACATCTAATAGTGAAAACAGATTGAGATTCAGATTTTGTTCAGGGCCCAATTGTAAGTTAAACCACACAATATTGACAGCTTTTGTTTTACTTATAGTTCAATATGTGCTTCCATTCCAGCCCTTGACACTTCCACGGGTTTCATAAAGATTCCTTCCATCACCTTCCAAGAATTAAACTGGTTTGAATACTGCATGCCATGAACTTCAAGTTGGCCATTTATTGGTCGCCCATATTGTTCTCCTGTAATGGACAGCAGGACTTCTGTAGCAGTATGTTTAAACCTCACTGGATTTTTTCGTTCCCAGTATGTTCCACTACACATGACAGTCCAATCATCCAGGCTATCTCCTTCTCCATTCTCACCAAATGCACTCACCTCCTTTTTGAGGAAAAAAAATGAAAACAAAATTAATACAACTTCATTTGACCAAATTTAAACTTAATATTACAATATGAATCCACAAATTACAGTGCAGTATGACTAACACCATCCATTTCCCATACAATCCTTTATTTTTGTATTCAAAAGTAAGCAGAAATTAAGAAAGGCTCAATGTGGCTAGGACTGCTATTTGCAACTTGGTTAAATAAAAATAAAAAGAAATAACAGATAACATAACAAAATTGCACTAAACCAGCTGAAACAATCAACCTAAGTGGTAAAAGTCTTAAATTCAAAACAAACTGGAGATAGTAGTGGGAAAGAAAATCAAAAGGGAAATAGCAAAGATGGACTGTTAAGTCTTTAGTTTCACTACAATCTGGAGACAAGTAGAAAAGAAAACATGTCAAAGGATTTCAGATCATAAGTTAGCAATTTAGAAAAATTCCAACTTCTGTGAAACATCATGTAATGATACTGCACCTTCAGAATTTAGAGATCTATTTTGTAAAAATTGAAAATTTACGCAATAAACTTGATCAGCAGTATCTCAATGCTATGGATTTTGCAGTGAATATGACTTGTATGAATTCCATTATATGTCTCCTACTGCTACAACGCTTGTGAAATGCACTCGGTTGAATATTTACACTACCCCAAGTGTTACAAGACCATGCTTCTCAGTTCGTCAACTCACTGCCTTCCAAACACACACCCATCAACTTCACTTTGCAGTTATCATGATCCATTCCTAAATGTTGCTTTAGGTAGAAAAAGCCATTTTATGTTTCAGTGCAACCTGACTGAGTCTTTTTTGGATATTCGCTTTGTTGCTCTCTAGTGCCATAAATAACTTTACAAAATTACCATCGGGTTTTAACTTTTATATATGTTCTTAAAATCTTAAATAGGGAATATATTGAAATTATAGCATTTGCAGAAAATGCAAAAAAGGCTTTTATTTCAGTAATAATTTATTTGTTACACTTCTCTGGCTTGGCATTCTATGAGCCAATTTCCTTGTATTGAAGTTATGATTGGCCCAGAGCAAATATTATAACTCAATTGTTTTTCCACCTTATTAAGTTGGAGCAGTGTCTTAAATGCTCACTGTACACTATTCTTTGATTAATTATGCTATAAGTGAAAATTATCCCTGTGATGTTTTGCTCCATTGCAATGAGAGAGAACAGGACATTTAAATAAGGCATAAAACATAACCTATTAAATCTATTCCACTGATATAACACTTTTGTATAATACAATAAATAGAAGTGCCTGCGCACAGTCTACAGTAACTTCACTAAGGAGTCATTAATATGGACTTTAAGGTTCATTTCTTTATTTCAATGCATTAACAACAAAATAGAATTATGTTGACTATTAACACAGCCAGTCTGGGCCTCAGGAAAGCTGATCCCGACCTAAGTTTATGCACACAATATGAATACGGATATGATAGCATTTACAACCAAACACTTAACGTATAAGGTGCACAGCTGGATGAACACAGCAGGCCAAGCAGCATCAGAGGAGCAGGAAGGCTGATGTTTCAGGCCTAGACCCTTCTTCAGAAATGGGGGAGGGGAAGGGGTTTCTGAAATAAATAGGGAGAGAGAGGGGGAGGCGGAAAGAAGATGGATAGAGGAGAAGATAGGTGGAGAGGAAACAAACAGATCAAAGAGGCGGGGATGGAGCCTGTAAAGGTGAGTGTAGGTGGGGAGGTAGGGAGGGGATAGGTCAGTCCAGGGAGGACGGACAGGTCAAGGGGACGGGATGAGGTTAGTAGGTAGGAGATGGGTGTGGGGCTTGGGGTGGGAGGAAGGACAGGTTAGGGAGGCGGGGATGAGCTGGGTTGGTTTTGGGATGCGGTAGGGGGAAGGGAGATTATGAAGCTTGTGAAGTCCACATTGATACCATTGGGCTGCAGGGTTCCCAAGCGGAATATGAGTTGCTGTTCCTGCAACCTTTGGGTAGCATCGTTATGGCACTGCAGGAGGCCCAGGATGGACATGTCGTCTGAGGAACGGGAGGGGGAGTTGAAATGGTTCGCGACTGGGAGGTGCAGTTGTTTAATGCGAACAGAGCGCAGGTGTTCTGCAAAGTGGTCCCCAAGTATAAGTTGTATTCAAGGCTAAAAAGCATTTCAGACAGAAAATCCCAACCAAATGCTTAAGCAAATGCATTTAATTTAGTGTACAGCATCTTTACAGCAAAGTTGGAGCTATCTACAGCTGGTACACAGCAAAAGGTTTGTGAAGTGAAGATGTTTGCCAACCACCAGGCCTTATCCAACTGTACAAACATTGAAAGAAAGAGAGTCAATAGAATCAACCATATCCACACTCAATCTGTCGCTTAGGCCGGGTTCCCAGATAATGGATCATTAGTCCCACTGGGACAGTTCGTCAGTGTTCTTATTGGTTGTTCAGTTAGTTAGCTTGTCAGTGCACTGAGGTTTTCCTGGATTGTGTTCATAATGAAAGAGGTACTTTGAACAGGCTTTGTGACAAATGACAGGACATTTGGATCTGGGATCTGCTTACACATGCATGCGTAATTCTTAGCTCTGAGGGCACATCAGTCTTCAAACTACTGTGAAGAAAACAATTTGTCCTGCTGTCCTAGTAGGAAAATGTTTAGGAAGTTCTGTGATAGATATTCTAGCTAGGTGCATGACACACCACAGTTACCAATATTTGGAAATTCTGAAGGTAGAAAAAGGCCAAACAAGAAGTCAAATCGAGCCAATTCTAGGGAAATAAAGCTGTTAGAAATTCCTCCCCAGTGCAATTAAACAACATTCAAAATATCCTTTGCACCTAAGTTATTGCTTCCCTAGTTTTCAGAAGAACAGTAAGCACTTAAGCTCTGGAAAAGTTTGCATCTGTTTTTGCAGTTTCAAAGAGAGAATAACCTATATCTTTTAACGGCACAATTAACTAAAATCTAAACATAATGCTAGGGAACTTTTTAAAGATCTTTCCCCTTGTGTTGCCTCCCAATCAGGCGATTTCACATGATATATCATGTTCAGGAGGAACAGTTATGCATTAACTGTGCATTCAACTTCCCACCTCTCGATGAAGCAACAACTGACTTCTCTTTCCAAAAGCCCCCAATCAAAATGCCTAATGAAAGCATGCACGAAGAATTTTTTTCAACTGTTTCTCAGCTGTTCTGAAATTGTTCTGGCAGCACCTCGCACCCCACCCACCATCGTATCCAAAATCTTTTTTTTCCCAAAAGGCAGGTGCCCAATCACACAACAAAAAGAATTAATGAGGTAGAATGTGTTGATACACGTGAAAAAAAAATGATCAATGCAAAATTTGCAGAATACAAATTATGTTATTGCACACAGCAGCAATAAATAATAATTGACGTCATGGTACCTGTCAATCTCAGGCTCGGGCATAGGTCACAAGATTGATTGTCTTGGAAATTACAGTTGGAAACAATTTCAGAACAGCTGAGAAACAGTTGAATAATATTTCTTCATAAGTGCTTTCATTGGGCATTTTGTTAAAAACTAGGCCACTCTAGCATGCTTAAACCTCTAAGAGGAAGACAATGGGTCAAATGATGCAAAAAGCAGGGCATCTAACACATCTGATTTGAGTTAGTTAAGTTTGTTTTGTATTTCTTGATTGAAAAGTTGCTGAAAACATGAGCTGATATTGTCACAGCAAGAGAAACAAGGCACCTGAAGTAGCAGTGTATTTTAACTAATCAGATCAAAGAATTGTGAAATTAACAATTAATTGCAAAAACTGAGAAGAAAGAGTAAATTACAGTGGGTGAATTCAGTGCTAAGTTAGGTACTGAAACAGAAATGAGAAAAAAATTGGATTGACATGCATTTGTGTCATACTTTTTCAACACAATGAGATGGCTTGCAGCACTTAATAGCAAACAAAGTAGTTTTTGAAGTGTTTGATTGTAATAATGTTGAATGAGGCATGCTCAGTGAACTCCCACAATGTGATAATGGCTAGATCATTTTTTTAGTGATCTATATTGAGTAATTAATATTAACCAAGACAGAGGGATAAAGAAATTCAATTTACTGACAATCTGCCCACAAATAAATATTGATAAACAACTAGAGTCTATGGTTTATTGCCAAAAATCTCCTCATCCTGAAACTCAAGCAAGGGGAAACTAAAAAAAAATCAACTTTAAGTTGAGATGAAGGTAAAATACATGTATAAAATGGGGTTTCTGCACTTGCAGTAAAACAAAATCCAATAACCTTTCCACGTTGAGGAAATTGTCAATGGCTCTTATGCAAAATATTGTAGCAAGAGAGTCTCAATGATAGATGTCAAAAATAATGCTGCACATCATCTTGCTCCTGTTCTTGCTCCTGTTCTGCCTCATTTATTGTGCTGTAGCACTGAATGAGGCGCCAAGGAGTCCTTTGTCTCTAGAAATAAAAAGTCTGCAACTGACACCAGGAAACACAGCTCTCCTCAAACGAAGCAAGCAGAAAAGAAATGCTTAGGGAATTTGGTACTACTCAGCAAATTACTGTTATAGTTCTGACAGTGTTCAAAACTGCCAATCAATGATTACAATGGAAGAGATCAGGCAGGAGGTAACCAACTGTACAAATTGCAAAATGAAAGAGTTATGGAAAGGGGAAATAGTTTTGAAAATAACTTTGGAAAAGGATAAAACTCCACACAAAATCAGTAGAATTCCTTCTCTAAAGACATTAGTGAACCAAATGGGTTTTTAGGATAATTGATGACTATTCTCATTATCCCCATCAATCTGACTATCCTTTCATTCAAAATTGTATTAAGTTTAAATTCCATAAGCTGCCATGATGAGATGTGAACATGTCTCCAGGACATTAGCCTGGGCTTCTGGATTGCTGGCCAAGTATCACCACCACTATGACACAGTTGCCTTGAACTCCTGTAACCTTTAATTTGGTTACTACAATTATGTAATAGCATCGAAACAATTATTAAATAGGCAAGAAAGCT